AATTTGAGTACTATCACTGATTTAAGTACTATCACTGATTTGAGTACTATCACTGATTTGAGTACTACCGATATCACTAATTTGAGTACTATCAGTAATTTGAGTACTATCACTCCTCAAATTAGCACTCTGCTGGTGGGAAGTGGTGTTTTATTTGACTCTGCTGGTGGGAAGTGGTGTTTTATTTTTAAAATCAGGTGTGGATCCTTTGACTGCATTTGTGTTTGAACAATACATGCAACATTAATGACAATACATCCCTCCCCAGTGATGTCCCACTGCAATAAGCCAATGGAAACGGCACCCAACTACAACATCGTGCAAAGAGAAGAGTAGGCAGGGACAAAATGGATGAAATAGTTTACAGCAAGGAATGAAGTTTTGTGGTAGATTCAGCCTATGGTAACTGGGGCTGTCATGGGGAAGAACTTACAGGTAGTGGGAAATAAAAATACCATGCTGTCAGAACATGGTGGTAGCAAAGAGTATGTGTATACAAGCATACTTGTTGGTAGAACTCGTATAGATAAAGTCATAGAGCTGGAAATGCAAGTTTACCATCAGTGTGGCAAATAATCCAACCCCAAAAGAGGCGATTAGCACACAAGGTAACCTAGTCAACCTAGCATACAGCCATATCATCATCAAAGGAAACAGCATGCAACTCCTTCCCTGCCTTATGCCAAGGCGACTAGAACATGTGACCAATCAGTGCTGAATAATACTGCTTGTAAAAGTTACACCAGAACTAACAACAAATCTAAAGACCAAATATGAGAGCATAATCTCAAGCAGTGTTACACATGCAAATCAGCCCTTAGATAAGTGATCTATGTATTGTAATCGGTGATGTTCAACAAAAACTGATGGACAGCACAGTGTGTAAAGTGGCTCCGATATTATGGGAATGTGTTTTCACAAAAGAATTGCAGCATAGTACTTAACATTCACTAAAAAGCCACTAGTCTATCCGAGCCTGTAAACGTGTGATGGGACAGCTCTGTAGTTCCCCATTATGTAGACTTGTCAGCAACTTTTGGTCATGAGGTAGCCTTCTTAATTCAATCAGATGTCCAGCCCTGAATTGGTCAGAACAGTGCTATCAGATCATGTATTGTTATCATCATATATAGAGGAAATGTGTTTGCATTGTCCCAACTAATGAACATTTCATTCCATGGTTTTAAAATTAGATTGATGGTGTTGAGAATCCCCTTGCATTCAAGTGGGATTGGAACCCCTTACCACAAGGTGGTCCATCAGACCAGAGCTTCCAACTGACAGGAGTATACACTGGAAGATCCAGATATATGGTTCCCCTGGAAAACTTGATATTTCTGGAATGCATGAAGTCCAACTAAGAGCATTGAACAGTCTTGTGTGTAGCAATGGTTGGACATTAAGCACTAGGTTATCTTATCTTCCCATACAGCCCACAGTAGTGTCAGTGTGAAATTGCTTGGACATGGTTTCTAAGGATGATTGATAAAAAAACTTCCATGTATGGATAAACAAAGACACCCCTTGCATGACTTTAGACAATCTCACCTTGCACACCAGAAAAGCAAAAGTTGGATGTCTGTGTGTACATGTAGGTATACATCTACCACTGGTCTCATGTTGCTAGTACACGTCAGACAATATCTAACTTTTATCCAAATAGTGGTAATTGGCTGTTGACGACTTAAAAAAAAACAATAAATTAAAGTAGACATTATCTTTATTGTACATGTGTGAGAATATGTCTCCTAAAATAAGAACTGTTACATTTAAAATACAATAATTGCAAATGAAAACACATTAATTATTTGATATATACAAATAAACAATTTATTAGTAAATGTTTTTAACAATCAGAATGCTGACACAAGTGGGCACTTTCACCTCAAATACCAAGACAAATTTGTGCTCTGAACCACACTATTTAAATATTGGTTGAATGTTGTGAACCTTATGAAACAATTCACCAACAATCAAGTTATTTAAAATTGTAAGCCTATGAGAACCCATACAGACCTGTACCACAAACAAGCAATGACACAGACAATAACAATATAATTAGCAGGCAACTTAGGATTCACAGAAATCATACACTGGAAGTACATTGGTGATTTTAACCCAAAGGTCACAGAATTTACAAAAATAGGAATGAGAATGATAAATTTATCATTATTGAGTTCAATTGTCAGCAATCTTTTGTTAAGCCATTGACGTGTCAAGTTATATAAACAATATATACTTCATAGCTTAGTTGCATTGCATCCAAAGCAGAATTCAAAGAGCAATGCATGATGGGATTTATTGTAATGAATAGTAATTAGCTTAATTCATTAATGCCATAATACCTCAGCTTTTAATCAGTATATGATTTGATATTTTTAGAAAGTTACTAATAATTGAAAGTGTTTCAACTGAATTTGTTGACAATAAAACTTTGAACAACTTTGTATGAATGAATACAAATCAAAACATATTAATATTAATATTAACACAAACATGGTTAAACTGCAGTGGTATTTTCAAATCAATGCTGAAACTTTACAGCAATCTTTCTTTGACACATCGGTCATGAAATCTGAAAGTTAGCTTCTTGTAATCTTTGATGTACCATATGTGTAATGTCATCTAAAGTAGAATCTAAAGCAAGATTATCTCCATTATTAAGTATAATAACATCCCATCCTACACCAACATCCAGTCCACATTCAGACTCTGCATCATCAATTCCTAACAGATAAAAAAAATCAAATTATTACTCATATAATAGTGACTACATTGCACATTATATTATGACTGAAGTTTACATTGCACTTCAATATGTAGATGTTATCAAATAAACATTCAGAACTAAAAATAAGACTTATGCCCTGGGCAAAAAACTGTATCCTTAGTATACATAGTTAAAAATTAATGATGAATAATGATTTTAGATGTTTTTTACATGGTTGGTGCTTTCATTGCTACAAACTACTTCATCAGATGGATGCAGTAAAAGCAAACACAGATGTACCTTTAGTGAAAAGAAAACCTCTTTGTTCCCTGACACTAATGTCAGCATCAACTCGCAGTGTAACTAAGGACTTGGGATAAACTTTTTGAAAATATTCCACATCAGTCTTTCTTCTGGCATCTGTAATAATCCACACTGGTTTGTGGCATCCTTCTCCCTGAGTTGTTAGCTTACAAAAATAATCTGGTTGTTGTTTTCGTCTTTCTTCTCCCCATCTAATCATGGCAGCTCGATATTGTTCTTTATATTGCGATGAATCCAGCAATTTATCAAGATCTAGGTTGTGCTCCTAAGAAAACAAAATGGCAGCCAGCTTGGATCAAAATGTCTTCTGAGGACACCAAAACTATAGTGTATTACAGCAAGTCTCCAAATTATTGGGGCAGCAAGTTAGCAAACTTTGTGACTAAGCAGGTGACATACCAACACAAACAAATTTGCATACTCAACAGTCCTGTAAAAACCCCATTATGGATGGTAGAGGTTTTTTGGCTCTAAGACGCTCAATTTTACTTTTTCACAAAAATGAATGCTTACTGTATTTGTAGCGGGTTTGACTATCAAAGACATGTATATTCAAACAGTGAGCTCAATTTATTGCACAAATATATTGAAGATGATGAGAAAAAAGGACCTGCGAGAAAAAACGTAATAAGGATGAGTAAATATGAACTTCACTGCAGCGATAATGTGACTGAGAATATTGACAGCGAAGACAGCGTCACCCCCAAAGAACTTAGTATGTTGGCTGAGAAACTTTTTTTTACATGACAACTGTTCAATAACTGACAACAATGCCTTATACAATGGAATGCTGGAATACTGGGGAATGTGGAGAGTTTCCATGTAAATTAAAACAAAGGAACATTTGTTTGCCGTAGAGAATATGCACACTGTATAGCTTTCCATAAAACCCCAATGACGATCCTTCCATTATTAAAATTGAATTGACCTACTCTACATAAGTTAATATCTAGTTTGGGGCATCACTCGTTCTTTTTTCATTTCAAAGTGATCCCAAGTGCACTTTAACTATACCGGCATGGCAACAAAAGAAATATTGTTATTTGGGATAACACTTGAACCACACACAAGCAAGCAAAGAAACGTTACATTAATCTTGTTTGTACAATGTAACTGTGTCGTAACAGTTTGATTCACTTCAAAGGATGACTGCTGACCATTGGAATCACCAACTACACCAATTATGAGCTATGATATTTACAGGTTTTACATCAGATATTACCACAACTACATGTATTGATGTTTGTTGTTTGTTATATTTTGGCCATTTTCAAGTAATTCAATAATAGCGCAAACCAAGTCAATCAAAAGAATACTACTCGGTGGGCCTCCTTTTTTTTCAGTCTTTGTAGATGTAGTATAAATAAACAATAAGTCTTGAAAGATTTTACTGCCAAGTGTAAAAAACAGACACCACAGCCGAGAAAACACAGACATGTCCAAGAAACCAGAACAGTTACACAAAATCACTATGACTTTTATTTTTTTAGTGTTTTAATCTACAAATTTTGATAAACACAATTTTTATACCCATTTTAATTTCTTCACATTACTGATTCAAAATCTGAATAATTTATTTACTTTGTGATGACCAACTGGGGGTTGCAACTGATATATCATTGATGTTTATTTAGGGTAAAGTCTGGGCTTTCATAATATATATAGATTGGAATGGTTTAGAACGATATCGGTACTTCTAAGAATATACATTAGTGAATATACATTTTATGTATGTAAAGCCCTACTACATGTACATCCTTAAAGTTGATTTTAGAAGGAAGAAAGAAAGAAAGACAGAACAGAAGAGTAATATGCATATTGGAGCTCAATTCATTTACATTGCACTCAAAGCCAAAGTTGTCAGCTAATTACTGTAAGGTTTGCTAAACTTGCTGACTCAATACACCTGAGATTTGCTGTGATCATTATTTTGAAAAAGTTTACGAAGGGGGTTGGGTTTAAAGTACAATAATTGTATTTGTTGTTCAAAGCATCTCCAATAGAAGCCACAATTGTAACTGAATCATTAAAATAGGACTTATATTTACCTCTGTGATTTATGCAATAGAAAATACAATTAAACATTGTGCATAAAAACCAAAGATAAGTCATTATTAATACATGTATTTATACAATCTGATTAAAATCTGATGTAGTGTACAGGTTTTAATTATTTTGGCTATAAACTTATTTTAATTTTATTACTTTGTTATTAATGGCCTTTTAATTTACTTTGATTTTGATTTTGTGATTTTTTTTTAATTCCGCCCTACCTACATCTGATCCGACGCCTATGCGAGTCCCGTTCAAATCTCGCGTAAGTAACAGCCAATCACAGCCCCCCTTTTAAACAGGCTGTCGGTTGCTTACTTTTCAGTGTATACGGGCAATCTTTCTGTACATTATATTTTGCCCACTTGAATAAACCATTAATAGAAAATTGCTAGTATATTTTTATTTGCAAAAGAAATTCCACAGCATTTTACAATTTTTGTCATTACATTGAATATTTTTTTCAAATGTGTACACTTCCAGATACATCTTCGCCAGCCAAGGGTCGTTCATTCAGTCATCGCTTCAATTTTACATCACTGAGCATAATTATCTAGAATGGAAGCAAAACAATAAGTAAATCGTAATGATTAGAACACTGTAAACAGCTATAGTAAACAATTATGCAAACTGATTTTAAATTGTATAACGACCACGGCATCGACGCAGAAAATTGGAGCAAACAAATATTTCCTGATCAATTGCGATGTGTTCCAAATAAAAAATATTTTATTCCAGTCCAAATTACTTTAATAAAGAGTTATTGTATAATGTACAAAATGTTGATACAATTTGATGAATATTTACAGCTATGGCTTCAATACCGTAGACGATTTTGGCCCGATCGTCAACAAAACATCACCCGTCTCCAGGGCAGGCGACTGGAAAAAGACACTGGTGTTCGGTCGAACCGGTGGAAACAAAATCGTCACTCCCAGAATAACTATGCAAAATAACGATCTTAAGTCGAACCATTCGAGCCACAATGTCCACAATGTTAACATAAAAATGACTTTCGTTGCATTTGACAATGATAAACTTACCGAAAAGCCGTGTTTTTCTCGGTCGCTAACGTCGGTATAATCCGCCATTTTATTTGAGTGTGTTTGCCACCAGACTCTGCCCGGTGACATCATCATGTGCGCTATAGAAGGAGGTCTGTGATTCGTTGACTAAAATCGTCGATAGTGGGTCTCGTTGAAATCTTGTTACATAGGCATCGGGTCAGATGTAGGTAGGGCCGAATTAAACAAAATCACAAAATCAAAATGAAATAGTAAAATAAAAGGGCATTAATAACAAAAGTAATAAAAAATAAAATTAAAATAAGTTTATAGCCAAAATAATTAAAGCCCTTACACTACATCAGATTTTAATCAGATTGGTATTTATATTGTATAATACTTCACAGCATTCCCTCAGTGATATAATAATATAATCTGATTCTCTGATGAAACCCAATTATGACCTTAGTTCTCTGCTAATTGCACAAAGGAAAAAATGCAGTGTTAATTTCGTACAATGTGATAAATATATTAGATATATTAGGAATTAATATTAAACTAATAGTTATATAAACTAGAAATGAATGACAATTATGCTTTTCAGATATTAAATGAACCAACCTTGGCATATTGAGATTTCAATGGTTCTGACAGTCTCAAAAGTGAACAGTGCTCCTTGCCAATTCTAGAATAGAAATAAGCATTGAGGTGTTATAACTAAGCCACGTGGAAGAAGCCAAATGATCAAAAGATACCTGTATCCCAGATATTCACGAATAATCCATCTGAAGTCATTATCAGTGAAATTTCACACCCCAGCTCTATTAATAAAACAATGTAATAATTTCACAAAAATCCAAATTTTAAATAGTCCATTGGCTATAACACAGGTTCGTCTATAGTGAATAAGCAAGAACACTAGCAAGACAGCCCAAGATGACAAACACTAATTAGTTCTTTCAGACTCACTTGTGTATTTGTAGTACATTTCAATTCATGTAAGAATGTTTTCACCACTTGCATAATCACGTCTTATAAATCTTTGATATTAATAACATTATGCGTAAGTTACCTTTGAAAGAGCAAATCCGTAACATAATCCTTGCCAGATTTCCTCTTACCACTGAATACCATCACAAGTAAGGGATAAGTCATTGTTTCTATGTTACAGTCTACATATAAACATCTAGGCGTTCTTTTCTTGCCCTACAATTAAACACATAAATCTTAAATAGACAATCAGAAACTGAAATCTGGTTATACCTTCTGGTTTCCATCTTATTACAATATTGCCTGCAAATTTCATTTTAAACTAATCATAACTTACAGGATTAAAAACATTAGCCTTAACATGTACATGTATCTATAGCAACAATCAACTTGCAAAGCAAATTCTGTAAATAACATATGTGTAATGTATGTGTGTATATTATATATACAGAGTATATACACTACGGAACCTGTCATAAGTCATGTAAGGAAGATCAGAGTAGAGTAGAGTAAATCAGTCAAATAAATACATGTATGTCATCCCACTTTTCTCAAGAATTGACTGTCAATAATCTTACATTACCTGTCATTAACTAAACATCACGTAAGTTATCTTTGCGTGAATTACTTGAACATCTCAAAAATAATAATAATAAAGAAAACATAACACATACAAATCATTGCGGACTCCATTATTGTCCGGAATAACTTTAAACCGGACGAATCGACTTTACGACACATAAAATTGTGGAATGAACAGACTGGGGACGAATGCAATTTGGTACAAATCAGTCGTCCACCATCGTCAGGCACCTTAGCCCTGCGTACATGGACTGTGTCGGGGGCCTAGTATCATAATACGGACATGTGATGCCCGTTAGTTCGCCCGATCAACACAGCGTTATACGGGGTGCTGGACATCTTGACCCAAAATAATCGGGGTGCTGAAAGGCTCCTATGCCAACGGGCTGTCTTCAATGAAATTACTAGTAGAAAAAAAGATAGGAAATACCTATGAAGCCTTTCTCACTGTACAATACAATTGTGACCTTCGTTTTAAAACTGATATTCTATTGATCGAGTTGTCTTGGGATGATTGAGTCCAGATCGATATATATTGCTTCAAAAGTTAAAGAATATCAAACGTTTGTTTCCAGGGAGGCTGCCATTTTGAATTGTTTGTTTAAATCTTTCCTCAACTTTTTTTTCCAAAATTGAACTGTGAAATTATATTCGAAATCTGTTTGTTTTACCAGGACTTCTTACATTATAATTCTAGCAGTAGTTTTGACTCTATTGTAATTCAAACTTTGACGTGATATTTCCGGAAAAAGTTGATTACAATTGGGTAAACATTTGAATTAGAGGGCGCAATTCATTGGTTTTACTTCAAAATTGTACACCCCATTACCACAGGGGACACTTACATTTATTATGTTTTGTTTTTCTTGCTAAATTTCGGATGTTGATTTAATGATATGTGGCATAATTCTTTTGAAAAATTAATTGGGAAATGGAATTTTTAAATCAAAAACGTAACGATATAGGTTCGATTTGAATGAAACTTTTAGAAAGGGGGTAACGCCACTCATCGCAATAGCCAAACAGAGTTTCCCCGATTTCAAAATGGCGGCGCGGGGAAATAGTGGTGGGATGCCTAGGTCATATCCTAGGAATAGTTCACCTCCGGTCTACCAACAGAATAGACAACACCCGATGGAAGTTGGAAGGTGAGCCATTACATTATTATTGTTTATCGTTTATCGTGTATTACGCTGGCAGAGGTATTACGAACCAGTGATGATAGTTGCCGGGAACAAAGTCAGGTCCCGGATCAGCGAAATAAGTCAAATGAGATATTTCTTGGAAATGTACAATACAACAGGTGACCGGGCGTATTTTGTCTGAACTCATATAAGAGGTGTTGTACTTGTTGCAATTGCATGATTTGTTGACACGCGATTATAAAGCGTTACACATGTTATAGATACATTTGTTGATTTCAAAGCTGTGTGCAGATACAGTCGCGTGGTAAAACCTGTTATGGCTTGTTGTTGTTTTGGTAAGGTTACTTGAGTACATGGCTGTTGTAGGATACATGTATTCACATTGTGATCGCACTTTAACAGGATCTCAATAAAAACGAGCACCTTCAATTTTACAGACTACCAACTCCCTATATTATAGTTGTACATGTAACTGATGTTTTTAAAGGGTTTTAATTTCACAAACTTGACAGGGAAACATTGAGTTCTGTTGTTAATTTACATGCTCACATGGATTTAATTAGACAATTTTAACTTAACTTAACCAGTGAATAATTAATGCATTTACAGTAACAATAACTTGTCTTTTATTGTTTTCTTGAACATTCAGACATCAGCCTTCAAATGTTGTCCTTAGTGGACATAAGCCGTCTACAAAATTGTTTGTTGCCAGAATTTAATATGTTATTTTGTTAGAATTTAAATGTATTTGTTCCTTGTTAAAATTATCGACTGAAAAAGATTCACTGACAGGATGAGATTCACTCTGAATTGCATTATTTCACTTTATTTCACTTTAGGTGGGTAGAAGTGTGCCACTAAAAGTTGACAAGCTGTACAATTTGTTGTGTGTTACTGAGAATTTGTGGCCAGTCAGATTTTGTTTAGGTCACCAATTGAAGACCTAGATATGTTTTTAATCTTCATTGATTAAATTTAATTGCCATGGTGACCAAAATGGTTGCAATCTAGAGACCAAGGCATTGTGCTATTGCTGTGATGGTATTGACATGTTTTGTAACACTTTGTAACAATATTTGTACTTAATAAATACCAGTGCACACATAAAACTCTCACAATTGTACAATCAAAATTGGAAGCTGTCGATAACAAATTACCTGTAAATAAATACTGTGTGTTACATAAAGGCATGAATACGTTTTACGAGCATCCAGGAAAATATTATTTTAATTTTTAAAGGCCCTGTCTATTATCCTTGTGACACCATTTATGGCACTTTTGATTATTTTTGTACAAACTTTTCAATCTTTTATTTTTTTGTTATTTTGTTTATATTTATAATCAAAATATGCAAATAAACAGTGAATTTCACTGCTAATATTAATAATCTATTAATAATATTTCAGTATGGGAAGGAATCCGATGACTATGATGAATTTACAGCGACCAAATAGTGCATCACCTGTCAGTGTTAGCAGTGTTGGAAGTTGTGGCAGTTACAAGAAAAAAGGCAGCAATGCTAAAGCTGAAATCTGTGTTGGCGAAGAATTAAAAATTTCTATTAAAATTGCTCTTGATGATTTCAGATATGATGATGACAAAAAAGGTAATATTTATGATTTGAATAATCTGTTAGGTGCAGATGTTTTGAATGAGGTTCAAGAGGTATTCAATGTCCATTTCATTTCATATAACAGAAATTATAGAAAATGACATAAATTATTTTGTATGTTTCAGAATTGGAATTCCCTTCATCACTGACTGCTACAGAAAGAGCTTACATTCATAGGCTATGTCCTGAATTGGGTCTGACGAGCAAGAGTAGAGGGTGAGTCTATTAGATGTCGAATTTATTTTTTTCATTTATTTATTTGCTTACTTAAAAAATTGTTTAATTTTTTTATTTCATTTTTGTTCATAATTTATAATACAACTTCAAAACAAGCCACTTTTTATAACATTGTCTTTATAGAAAGAGTAGTAATCGTTATCTGACAATCTTTAAGAAAGACTGCAACAAAATGCCTTGTAGTGTTGCTACATATCAGATGACAAGAAACTCTAGACATCAGATACATGGATTGTTGCAAAGATTCCCTGTAACAAACAAAGAAAGACAGGAATTACAGCAGAGAACAGAGAGGGGATATCACTTTAGTGGAGAAAATGGTAAGCTAAGTCAAATGTTTGCATATATAAGACAGTGGTTATTTATTCAGAGTGAAAACTAATGTCATGCATGTCTCATGGAGTATGACCTTGTCTAGTGTGTATGTAGGTCATAGTCACTTGTTCTATAGAGAGTGAATTCATTGACATTTTCCTATTTTTTTTTATCTATGCTGTCGAAAGCGACATTGTTTATTGAGTGTCTGTAATCCGTTTACATTTTCTACTTCTTCATGAAAATGACAAGATGCTTTGATACTTACACTGGTACACTGTATATCTTGTATGGACCTCTCTCAGATGATGATATCTTCAGATCTTTAATTTTCTTTATTTTGACTGACTGAAGTCTATGGTGGGTAACTGAACGTAGTGAATTTAGGCAAAGGGTTCTCCGAACCCGCCTATTCACATAGTTCATACCCACCATAGACTTCGCCAACCGCCCCACTCTTTCCGTAATGTTGGCCTAGTCCTCGGTGCGGAGAGAAAAAGAACCAGAGTGAAGATAGAGGTAAAAATGGCGTCGCCATATTACCTTGGTCATGTGGTTCATGACGTAAAGGAAAATCTTTGGGTCATGGGGTCATTGGCACAATTGATTTAATGCCTACAGTTCAAAATAGTCATATTGACTGATCGGAGTCTATGGTTGGTATGAACTATATGAATAGATGGGTTCGGATAACCCTCTACCTAAGTCTGATTTTTTCATTTTGGAACGATGAGTTGAATTTCTATCTACATATATTTTCTTGTCATCCTGACAAACAAAATAAATAAACTCATCACAATCAACTACTCAATTCACAGTTCATGATCTTTGTTAACATACTCTGCCATGGCAACCACAAATAACTCACAAATTAAGTTCACCTGCACACTTGTGTGCGCTATCAAACAATAACAGCAAAAGTAAATTTGACTTTATGAAATGCATGCTGGGAAATCACACAATAATGCAAATTTAAAGTAATAATAAAACTATAATAAAAAGATAAGTTTAAAAATTTGTTTTTCAAACAAGCAATTCGTTTGGGTAAAATTAAAGACAACCACTAACAACATTTGACTGCATTTGTCAGTTTTGCATGGAAGATCCTTTAGATACGAGCACCTTATTATGCAAATAACCCAGAACACTTTCACGGAGCATTTGAAAAAAAAAATTGTCATCCAACATAAGTTACCCCAAAATATTTTGATTATGAATGCTTGTAATTTTACCTCTGATTTGTAGAAATTTGAAAAACCTGTTTCTCAGCCAGATGACTGCCCACATATAGTAAATATCGATCAATTAATTGTGTTTATTTTGTTATTACTTGTACACCAGCTGACTGCGCGAATGTAAATTGATTTCAGGGCAGAAAGAAATAAACAGGACCACAGGACGGTTGAATAATGGCATACCACAAATACCTCTCAGGAAGTTTGACTCTGAGTTTGAATTATTTCGTCAGAGTTTGCCTGTACATCACATCAAGGATATGATAATGACACACATCAATGACAATAGAGTTGTTTTGATTTCAGGAGATACAGGGTCAGGTAAAACTACACAGGTGAGATTTGTTGGTCTAATCGTTACATTCAGTATTTTCATACCACATCAATACAGAAGAAAATCTTCATGTGAGACAATGTATCTTATTCCATACACCACGGACATGGTACGAAAATTATTTTTATGTGGCTCAAAATTTGATGGATAGGACTTTAAATATTACAGCAGTCATTTTATCAATGAGAAATTTTTTCATTCTCAATTGTTAAAAAAGAATAGGTGCGACTTCTATTAGGGATGCGACTTCTAATACAGATTTTACGGTACATGTGTCTGGTGATGGTCGGACATGGGCTTTTGAATAACTTTAAAATTGAGAATACTTTTGTTTATTACATGTCTGTACTTCTCACACCATCTTCACATATTCTGTTTTGAAATGTGTCCATTTCCAGATTCCCCAGTTAATTTTAGACAATAGTTTTGTGACTGGAAGACCATGTAGAGTAATTTGCACACAGCCTAGAAGGATTTCAGCCTTGGCAATGGCTGAACGTGTAGCAGCTGAAAGAGGTGAGAAGATTGGACAAACAGTTGGATACCAAATAAGGCTTGAAAGCAGGTAATAAGTCATTTGTACTAAAATAAATAGAATACATGTACTAATGTAATATTATTACATATATTGTATTAAACATACAATAAAACTATTTAAACTGAACTATATGTAAACTGGATAAATGCCAGGCATATTAATATTTACAATTATATAAAATTATTTAAAACTTCATGAAAGAACATGTTGATAAATCAATTTGATTTAATCAGGTTTAATACTGTTGAAACTTGTCTACCATGCCTCTTTGTTTCCTTGTAGGGTGTCTCCAAAGACTGTATTAACATTCTGCACCAATGGAGTACTATTGAGAACTCTGATGGGTGGACAAAACTCACTTTCCACTGTAACACATGTTATTGTTGTAAGTTTTAATCTGTTGTTTGCATTGTCCATATCGCTTGGTTTCACTTTATTTGGAAATATACTGTAAAAAGGATTTGGGGGGAAGGGGGGTTATGACAAGTCTTTTTCCAATGACAATGTTCATGTACAGTTCACTTACAAGTTATGTGTAGTCAGTGTAGTAATTACAACTTTTTTGGAAACAGCAAAATGCTGGGAATTACGCATGAAAGTTGTAAAAAAAATTGATTGTTGTCTATTATTTTCAATCCTATGTACTGGTACTATATGTTGTGCTGTGTTATTTCACATTTTATGTATGTACCGGTATCAATGTTTAATGTACATATAGATTAGATATCAACCTTCCCTGTAAAAGTAGATTCCTCCAATTTCATCTGGATCTGCTTACTCTTTTCAAAACATCTGACATCACTTCTTAGTTTCCAAGGGGGTCCACCTGACATCACTTCTTAGTTGGTTTCCCAGGGGGTCCACCTGACATCACTTCTTAGTTGGTTTCCCAGGGGGTCCACCTGACATCACTTCTTAGTTGGTTTCCCAGGGGGTCCACCTGACATCACTTCTTAGTTGGTTTCCGGGGGGGGTGGGGGGTGGTGGTGTTACCTGACATCACTTCTTTGTTGGTTTCGGGGGGGGGGGGGTCCACCTGACATCACTTCTTAGTTTCCAAGGGGGTCCACCTGACATCACTTCTTAGTTGGTTTCCCAGGGGGGCCCACCTGACATCACTTTTTAGTTGGTTTCCCAGGGGACCCACCTGACATCACTTCTTAGTTGGTTTCCCAGGGGTCCACTGACATCACTTCTGAGTTGGTTTCCCAGGGGGGCCACCTGACATCACTTCTTAGTTGGTTTCCCAGGGGGTCCACCTGACATCACTTCTTAGTTGGTTTCCCAGGGGGCCCACCTGACATCACTTCTTAGTTGGTTTCCCAGGGGGCCCACCTGACATCACTTCTTAGTTGGTTTCCCAGGGGGGCCCACCTGACATCACTTCTTAGTTGGTTTCCCAGGGGGTCCACCTGACATCACTTCTTAGTTGGTTTCCGGGGGGGGGGGGGG